ATTGGATCAATATGTGTTCAAGTCGGGAAGAAGAGATTGCGTTTCTAGACACTCTCAATGACTGTGCTATGGAGCAGATGGCCAAAGAACCTACCAGGGGAGAGGCGATCCTGGATTTGGTCCTAAGTAACGCCCAAGACCTGGTGACAGATGTAAAAGTGATTGCACCGCTTGGGAACAGTGGCCATAATGTTTTTGAGTTCAACATTTGTATATATAGGGAGTTGCCCAAAAAGACTGGCACAACCACTTTTAACTTCAAAAGGGGTAACTTCTATGGTATGAGGGGACATGTGAGGATGAAACTGAAAGGAAAAGTAGAAAGGGTCAAACCATAGGGGAAGCTTGGAAACTATTTAAAACTACAATCTTGGAAACTCAGAAAAAATATATACCGCAGGTTAGAAAAGGCACAAATAGGTATAGAAAAAAGCCTGCATGGTTGACAAACAAAGTAATGGAAGCTGTAAAGGTAAGAAGGATTCCTTTAAGCAGTGGAAAGCTAGTCTCAATGAGGTTGATAAAAGGGAATACAGGCTGTGTCAAATAAAATGCAAGTCTGTGATCAGGCAGGCAAAAAGGGAATATAAGGAGCATATCACAAAAAAACATAAAGACCAACAATAAAACTTTCTTCAAATACATTAGAAGCAGGAAACCAGCCAGGGAGGCAATGGGGTCCACGGATGACCAAGGGGTAAAAGAAGTACTGAAGGATGATAGGGAAATGGTGGAGAAGCTGAATGCATTTTTTGCCTCTGTCTTCACTGTGGAAGATGAGAAATGCTTGCCCACTCCACAACCGCTGATTTCTGGAGGGGTGTTGAAAGACCTGAGTCAGGTTGAGGTGAAGAGAGAGGAGGTCCTATGACTGAAGATCTTGTCTCACTAACCTGTTAGTGTTCTTTGAGGGAGTGAACAAACACGTAGACAAGGGGGACCCAATAGATGTTGTTTACCTTGACTTCCAGAAAGCTTTTGATAAAGTTCCTCATCAAAGGCTCCTAAGTAAGCTCAATAGTCACGGGATAAAAGGACAAGTCCTCTTGTGAATCAAAAACTGGCTAATTAATAGGAAACAGAGAGTGAGTATAAATAGGAAATTTTCTCAGTGGAGGGTAGTAATCAGTGGGGTACCACAGGGATCAGTACTCGGTCTGATGCTTTTTAACTTGTTCATTAATTATTTGGAGTTGGGAGTAAGCAGTACAGTGGCTAAATTTGTGGATGACACGTTGTTCAGGATGGTGAGAACCAGGGAGGATTGTGAGGCACTCCAAATATATCTGTCGAGGATGGGTGAGTGAGCGTCAACGTGGCAAATGAGGTTCAGTGTGGCCAAGTGCAAAGTGATGCACATTGGAGCCAAAAATCCTAACTATAAATACACGTTGATGGGGTCCGAACTGGCAGAGGCTGACCAAGAGAGAGATCTTGGAGTCATAGTAGATAACTCATTGAAAATGTTGAGACAGTGTGTGACTGCAATTAAAAAGGCCAGTGCTATGTTGGGGATTATTAGGAAGGGAATTGAAAACAAACCAGCCAGTATCATAATGCCCCTGTATAAATCAATGGTGCAACCTCATTTGGAATACTGTGTACAGTTCTGATCACCATACCTCAAAAAAGATATTATAGCATTGGAAAAAGTGCAGAAAAGGGCAACTAGAATGATAAAAGGGTTGGAACACTTTCCCTATGAAGAAAGGTTAAAGTGCTTGGGGCACTTTAGCTTGGAGAAATTACGGCTGAGGGGTGACATGATCGAGGTTTATAAGATTATGCATGGGATAGAGCAGGTCAAGAAAGAAGAACTTTTCTCCCTTTCTCACAATACAAGAATTTGTGGGCACTCCATGAAATTGCTGAGCGGTCGGGTTAGAACAGTACTTCTTCACCCAAGTACTTCTTCACCCAAAGAGTGATTAACACATGGAATTCCCTGCCACAGGAGGTGGTGGTGGCTACAAGCATAGACAGTTTCAAGAGGGAATTAGATAAACTTATGGAGCAGAGATCCATCAGTGGCTATTAGCCACAAGGTATAGATAGGAACTATCAATCTGGGGCAAGTGATGCACTGTATTCTTGGTACTTGGGGGGGGGGGAACAGTGGGAGGGCTTCTAGTGTCCTGGTCCCACTGGTGGACCTCCTGATGGCACCTGGTATTTTTGGCCACTGTGTGACAGAGTGTTGGACTGGATGGGCCATTGGCCTGATCCAACATTGTCTTCTCTTATGTTCTTAATGGAGGAAGCAGTTAAATTACTTAGGATTACAGGTTTTTCTTCGTCTGGGAAGACCTCTCCCCCGCCTTTCTCCTGAGCTTGGAGGAGGCTATCAAAATCTTCCAGCCTTCATGTTGACTTTGGAAGGGATCTTCTCAGTCCTGTACAATGGCCCACTGGCTCTCATTTATGACATAGTGACATTAAAAAGCAGCAGCAATTTACAAAAATCAGTAAAATCAAAACTCATAAGAAGTGAAAGACTTAGTTATCAACAGGGCATACTTTGCCTGTTATCTGAAAGAATGACACCAAGGGATCATCCATCATCCAGTTCCAAGGGTAGGATATTACCACAGGGAGTAACCCACTTAACTTTTGAAGTTGGAAGCACTTGGAGAAGAGACTCCAGTGACTGTCATCCTTTACCGTCAGTCTCATACTACCCATAACTTCATGAGTGAAGGTTTGTTTGATTTTTTTTTCAAATAGCTGAACTTGGAAAGGTCTTATCCCTAACAGCTAGACTTGTCAAAAGTCATATTGACATTGTGCGTGCCCTGCCTCTGCAATGTATGTGGTTCTCTAATTATGAATGGAATAAAAATGTGAGGTGAAAGGAGGTCTGCCTGCAATACAACTAGATATGGTTAACTAGGAAAGTTCCCATTTCATGGTCATTAAAGAGGCTACAACAATCTTCTCTCTGTCATTTTTATCTATTGCATATTGTGTTATTAGAGAGACTGCCAAACGAGGATCAGGAAAATCTGGATTCAAATCCCCATTCAGCCCTGAAAACAGTCGCAAGACTTTTGTAGCCTGATGGTCTCTAAAAGTGTCGGGGGGGGGGGTTACTACTTTACTGGCAATGAGTAGGAAAGAAATGCCTACCATTACATCGGTTTATTTTTGCTAAGCCATTAAAAAGTACGTTGCATGCAGCTGTTAGCCATGTCTCAACACTTCAAAGTGCATTGACTCAGCTGTAATTTGGTAATTAAATTTCTTTTCCCCATTAACAAGTACTGATGACTGTGTGTTTGAAATAACTTGCTTCTATCTGATCCTTTCAAAAGAATCAGATCATTTTTTGTTTCATAAAACCATAGGGTCTGGCTGGTCCCCTGCGTGACTCAATTATCTGCTTAATTCTGCTGCAAATACTTGTAATTGCTTGCATTCTTTGAGTGTCTCTTGTGTCATTCAGTTAAATGCCTGGTGTCTTGTCTCTGTCCTTATAACTTAAATTAACTGTAGTTTATGTATCTTTGTAATATTTGGAACTTGCTTATGATTGAAGATTGTTAGTCCCGTCTGTACGTTAGTGGATGCCAGAGACTGTGCAGTTCTATTTAGGATAAAGCTTTGTGGAAGATGCATGCAATAACTTGAGGAAATTTTATTTACTCCCAACATCATTAAAAGGGGCAACAAAGAACGATGCTGAGAATGTTGAGTGTTAAAAGCTGCATCATTTCTATACTAATTGTTTAGTTTTGGATATTAAATTGTAATGCATGTTCACTAAATATTCCATAAAATGGGTTGGATCCAGTGAACGTTTTCACTTAGTCACACCCAGTTTTAATTGTTAGCCGCCTGGGTGTCCCTAATTGGGCAGAAAAGCATAATATAAATTCTGTAAACAAATAAACAGCCATATGTACTGGTCAGGGTCTGCACTGAGGAAGGGGGTGGGAGACAAATTGCCCTCCTCTCCCTCTTCCATTAGTATAGTGCTGCTGAGAAAGACATAGGAAAGGGGATTTTGACCCCTTTCCCCTGGACCTTTATGACGTATAGTCCATGTGAGTCCCATGACTCTAGGAATCAACTTTGCAGGGAGGAGACAAACAAGGGAAATATCCATGTCTCTGTGCCCATGGATCATTGAACCCAACCTACTGATCTGAATCAAATGTTAGTGAAGCGGATCCTGGGGGGGAAAGGAATATTTGGTGCTGCTTGTTACATATTTTGATATGCCTATAAATTATTTGCAATTACAGTTAATTGTGGAACTTCTTGCCAGTACATCAGAACTCTAGATTATAATGCAGCTGTAAAGCAATACCCAGCTCTTAAGCTAGTAATGAGGTAATAACCATGTGTTGCAAAACAAAGGTATTTGTTTATTTTTCAGGGGACGTTGAGAAATACTGTGGCCTCTGTAACCCACAGGTGACTTGGCTTTAGGCCCCGACTTCTTAGAAACTGTTCCATCACAACAGCATATTTATTGTACGTTGTTTTTGAAAACGTCTAGCACAACTGGGAAATCCTGGTTCCTAAGTCTTCCTCAAAAGGCAATTAGCAGGTGTCCAAATCTGTGTACGTTTCCAGATGTGTGTATGTTAAGTGGGTTCAGTTAACTAAGTGGGACTCAACAAATCAAAGAATTCAGGTATTCATGCACGTAAAGATACCCCCCCCCCGTGTGCGCTATTTATTTATTCATTTATTTAGACAGAGTATATGCTGCCTCTCCAGGAACCTGCCCAAGGCAGCTGTAGTTTTGTTTTCATGGACAGTCTAAATTAGATGTCATTAGAGAATAAATCTACAGAATAAATCTACTATCTAAAAGGATCTTTAAAGAAATCTCTGAACAGTATAGGAAGCAGAGAGCAGATTTTGCAGTCTGATGTCCATAGGAATGTTCTGGTGAGGCAGATGTTCTGTGGGGAGGAATATATATACACGCATCTGTGTGTGCGCGCGCACGCAATATTAATCCCCAGTATTGTCTTTTTAAAATACCATAGGAGACTATAAAGGCAGCAATCATAGAGGAGCAAAAGAAAAGTGAAGAAGCTGTAGAAGAAGCTGTGAGGCAAGCAAGGGAAGAGCTGATGGACTATATCAAGGAGCAGAAAAGGGTAAGTACTGCTCTTGCACATGGTTGCGCCAGCAGGCTGCTCTTGAGGCTAGAGAGAAATCATTATTTCCAGGTCCCATTCAGTTTAGAAGATGGATGGTTTATTTTCATTCAACATCACAAGTTAGCTACTTGGATAGCTGTTCTGGCCTCATGGGGTGTATTGACACTCGCTATGTAGTGTGATCAGGATTGCTGCATGGGACGCTGTTTGTTGAAATGGGGGAAATGATCATGCCAGCACAGTTGTCAAGCTTCAGCAAAGGCAACTTAGAAGCCACTCGACAGCAAAACATCTGCTATCTTCATTAAAGAGCTTTAAAGTTTCAGTGTAACCAGAACAAGTTTACGTTAAGCATCTCCCTTGTTATGAAGCTGCTTATTCTCGTCAGCATCTCAAACTATAATTAACTATGCTGGAATGGAGGGGCAAGAACTCAAGGGGGCGCCTCATTTCCCTCCCCCCATGACTATTTCCAATTTTGTCCCCCTAACAAGCCTCTGTAGCCTATTCCCGTTCTCTGTTTCCCTCTATTCCTCCAATCCATCAACAAATCTATCTTTATCTTCCCCCTCCTGCCAGTTTTCAGGTTTTCCTTCCTCCTGTTGGCAGCTTCTCTCCTTTTCTTCCTTCCTCCGTACTTCACTACCTTTCTGGTTTTTCCTCCACTAGTTTCTCCTCTCCTCAAGCCCTCAAAATTGGTGGGCACTGCTCAAATGATGCTTCTTTCCCTTCCCTCTGCCAGTTAAAAATTAGCATTTAATGTAAAATAATGTCTTTTGCATAAGAGTCTTTTTAAATATGTAAGATTTTCATATTGGCTCTGATCTTGTAAAGTGTCCTCAAATTACTCACAGTAAACCTAACAATAATGGTTTCGATCCATACTAAATTTTCTGCCGACGGAAGTGCCTTCCATCAGCAGAACAGGACTTTCCTGCCTCCCCCTTCAGTCTCGCAATGCTATTCATGGGGGACTGGCATGAAGGGCAAATCGGGCATCTACAGCAGGTAAGGGAAATTCTACCTTCCCTTTCATTAATGGAACATTAGTCTGGATCCAACTGAAGGTATTTCCAAATATTATGCAAGTTGTCTGCAGGGGTTGGTTATTAATACCTTCTATTTAGGAACAGATTCCCATGCTGCTCAGTGAAACTTGTGTTCTTCTTCTGTTCCTGAAAGCTGCTATGAAGGCTAAATTTCCTTGTTGGCTAAGAACTTCCTTTTAAGTCAGCATGATTTTGAACGCCATTATCGTAGCAGTGAGAGAGGTACGTGAAGGAAGAACCCAAACACTGGCCTGTATCACAAGACCCCACTCAGCAACATTTGAAGCCTTCCTCCATCTTAAATGGTTCTGCTGCTGGCTAGAGAGGCACTTAAATTTGAAGAAGGCTTCTTAGTCGGAAGGAAGGCTTCAAACACCGCCGAGTCAAGTGGCAGGATGTACGTCAACGTAGGATGGACTGGGTTTTTTGCTTACTTATCTGTCATTCTGACGAGCTGGTTTTTTAAAAAGCCAAGAATGTCGTATCCGCTACAGTAAACGAAAGCCCACGCTTTAAAAATAGTCTCCTAATTATTGTCAGAATGGCACATTAATGTACTTTCTGATGATCTGTGTGTCCTGTGAGAGGAGAAACCAGGGCACTCAGAATCAAAATAGAAGGACTGCCTGAGCCACAGTATATCCTGCTGAGCAGGCTAGTTAAACAAACTCCCCCCGAAAATGATGAAATGTTCAGAGTAATGGCTGCTTTTATGGTCTCAAGGTTCAGGACCTACCACAGCCAGCCAAAGTGAAGTTTTCCCTGTTGACTTTGACACTGGGCTTCCTTTAATAAAATACTCCCTGTTTCCTGACAACAAAATGAATTGGAATAAACACTGGATCTGCCCTGGTGTACACAAGCAGCTCCAACCAACTTCAAAACGACTTCAGAACTTTCTAAATAATCCTCAGTTTATTTCTTTTTTTTTCCCTTTTGACATGCACGCCCTTGTCACTTCGCCATCCCTCTAAATTTTAATGACAAAAGCTTGGCAGAGGAATGTGTCAGTTGTAAGCAGAGTTTACTGTACTCATTTGTCCTCCCTTGTGAATTGTGCAGCTGTGTCTTGTAACCTTTACAGAGAATTTGACCAAGCACACTCCCTGACTCATGTTTACCAAAATAACAGCTCAGCCATTTAGATTATTGGGGGGGTGGGGGTTACCTTGTCCCCATTTCCACCCTCTCCGATTAGGAAGAAATTCAGGATAGTCTTTTTCCATTGTTGGTAACCTTCAAAGCACTGAAGACTTACTTTCTGTGTCCGTGTTTTAAACAGTCTTTATTTCTAAAAATTCTTAATTTATACATTTGGGTTTTAGCCTCTTTTAAATTGGTAAGAAAAATAGCAGCCAGAACAAAAAGTCCTCCAGACCTGACATGGTCAGATTAACGTCATGTTGTGTGCATAAGTCTCTCGTTCCCGCCTCCAACACAGAATGTATCAGACTTGCTCTTCTCCTGGTCTACCAGCTGGGGATCCAAAAGCTCCCTGTTAACAGTTCAGTGGTTCCATCAGTTAATGTGAATGTTCCCTTTCATCACTAGATCCCCACCCCAGTTGAAATCTGCTTGATAGGCAGTTCTGCACAGCTTTTTTTCTTTGCTTACATTGTTTGACAAGCTAACAACTAATTTTTTTAAAAAAACAACATTTCTTTAAAAGGATGTTTATAATTATTTCTTAGTCAACACTTTACTTTTTGCATTTTAACCTCTGCCAGACAATCTGATGTGTGCATATCATCTAGTCAATAGTCTTTAGTAAGAGACCTGTCTTCAGCTTCATTTTCTTGATTTCATACTTTCTTCACAGAAGCGCCAACATTTCTTAATCCCGCAAGAGTGTCCCAAAGACACGTCTTATAAGAGCATAAGTGTTGTGTTGCTGGATCACTCTAAAAGCCGTCAAGGTATTTTATTACTGCAGGAATGGTCATCCCTTCCAGAGCCAAGCGAAGCTGCTGTGCTATCACTGCAGGGCCTTGACATGGACCCAGGAGGGGATGTCAGTCACCACCTCTGCCACAGATGTGTGAGAGTAAGCCAAGACGCTGTTTCTACCACCCCATGCAGTCAGTCAGGGGACTTGGCCAGAGAACCACTTGTGCTACTAAGGGATTCTGTTACAAAGAGATGCTTCTGCAATGTCATTATTAGGGCACCCAGGACATTCACTGCCTGATGTCATCTGGATGGAAAGAAAAGAAACAGCTGTGTCACCATAGTGACGCCTAACCCCGTAACACTGGATGATCTCTCCCAGCAGTTTCATGTAGATAGTGAACAACATAGGTGAGCTAATAGAGCCCTGAGAAATAGCATAACTGATAAACAGTGTATGTGATGAGCTTCTGCCTCTACCGTATGGTGGCTGGTAGTATATAGCTTCAGGACATGGATAGGATTGCCATCTTCCAAGTGGCACCTGGAGGTCTTCTGCAATTTCAACTGATCTCCAGACGACACAGATCAGTTCCCCTGGAGAAATTGGCTGCCTCGGAGGGTGGACTCTATGGAATTATAACCTGCTGAGCTCCCTACTCTCCCCAAACTCCACCCTCTCCAGGTTGTACCCTCAAGAACTCCAGGTATTTCCCAACCCAGAGCTGGCAACCCTAGACATGGGAGGTTGTATCTAAGTTGACTGGGCACAATAAAGGAGCTTGATCCAGTCCTACCGTGGGTACAGCACTGTATGAGTGGGTATGTCCAGACTTAACAGGGTCCAGCACATGCCTGGGTACCATTCAAGATCATTCCATTACTCTACTTAGACAAGAATGTGAATCCATTCCTTGAGTGGGGCAGGGATATTGAAGGGGCCATCCCAGCGCCTGTAGTAGAGCATGATTTCTCATTTGGGGTGAAGGAAACCTTAATTAAATCCAGGTATCTTAGACAACCATCTGCTGGTTGCCAGTATTCCATTTCTGGGCAAGAGACTTAAGGAGGCGGTGGCATGTCAACTCCAGGCAGTTCTGGGAGAGAGGGATTATTTGTATCCATTCCAAAACTAGTTTCAGGTCAGGCTTTAGGTTAGAAACTGCCTTTGGTGGATGGCCTTTGCTAGGAATAATGCAGGGACTATGTCCTTATTGGCTTTGTTGGACTATTCTGCAGCTTTTGATACTGTTCACCATGGTATCCTTCTGGTACAAGAAGCAGGAGGTATGGCCTTACAGTGGCTCTGCACCTACTTGGCCAACCATTTTCTACAGGTGAAGCTGGGGGAGGTTTGTTTGGTATCTTGGCAGTTTTGCTATAGAGTTTCTTATGGCTCTGCTGGGTCTCCTGTGTTGTTCACTATCTACATCTGTAGTTCTCAACTGGTGGTATCTACTACCAGCGGTATGCAGAAGTAATGTAGGGGGAATGCAAGGTTTTCATAGCTGTTACTAAGAATTCCCTTTCCCTCAATCCTTGTATCCAACTGCAAGTGTGAGGTGCCATCTTTTGCTGACCCTTCCTGCTATGGTCTATCTGTGGCCTATCTCTCTGTAAGCCTGGACACTTGGTTTTCCTTCTAATCCCCTGTTCTTCTTGCCCACCAGAAAAGGTCTTTGGCATGCTGCTTCC